GGGGAGGGATGAGGGGGTAATGATTTTAAATTAAATGAGGGGAGATTTAGATTAGAAATAAGGAAGAAATTATTTTCTATGAGGGTGGTGAGACACTGGCACAGGTTGCCCAGAGAAGCTGTGGCTGCCCCCTCCCTGGCAGTGTTCAAGGCCAGGCTGGATGGGGCTGTGAGCAACCTGGGCTAGTGGAAGGTGTCCCTGCCCATGGCATGGGGGCTGGAACTAGATGATCTTTAAGGTCTCTACCAATCCAAACCATTCTATGCTTCTATTAAAAAAAAATAGGGTTTTTTTCAAGCTCAGACACGTCGGCACCGAATCAGGATAAAAATCCTGGCAGTAGATATAACTATTTACCATTTTAATTTAGTATTTTCTTCTAAGTCTATTTGGACTCAGCGACACCTTTTCATCAAACCATGTTAAGGACTAGGAGGGTCCCACACTCTCTGCCAGTGGGAGACAGATGAGTCACCAGGAAATGCAAGAATCCAGTTTCTATTCCAAATGTCCTTATTCAGGATTATGACCAATGTGATTTTTCCCAGGAATTTCCAGAAAATCAGTCTATGACCAACTCCTGTGAAAACAGAAGCCAAGCTCAAAGGACAAACCTGACAGTTTTTCCAGATGTAGGGTAGAAGCAAACAGTTTTCTCAATCTCTGTCTCACTTTTAAGCAGTGCTATGGGATAAAAGTACTGTGAAGGTGATGGCTACACAAATCACAATCTCAATTCTTACTGAGGAATGTCTTTGAGCCTTTTTGTGTGATTTTGGTACATGTACCCACTTCTTCAGTCATCTAAGTATGGATTTCTCCTCTTTCTCTGGTCATCTGCCAGACTACTGCTTTCTTTTCATGCAAATACGTCTTTAAAAGCTGTTTATTTTATGAACCTCAGAAAAGGAGTTACCAACGAAGCATTCCTTTCTAAATGCAGCTAGGCTTGCACGGCCCTTTTCTTTCCTGCCATGAAATTTTCCTGAGTGGTCAAATCATCTATCTAAAAAATGGTCTACCTTCATTCCATTACTGTCTGAAAATAGAGTTCAGATATAATTGGATACATATCATCTACCAGTACTTAGAGGAAACCAGCAAAATATTCAGCATTTTAGTATAAGTAATAACTACTTCAGTCAGCAAAATGCTTTTTAGTATGCTGTTAGTACTGCTACTTCTATAGACCTAGCTCTTAAACATTTTGGATAGAGTTAAGGAATACATTTTAATAACATAAACCTTCTGAAATACTTTAGTACCAGTGATTGCAGGCTTGCTTTGCTGGTTTCTCACCCTCCTAATTGAGAAACAGCAACAAAGGGTGAAAGGTTCAGTTATTACTTCTGTGAAGGAGACATCCAGACAGCTCTGCTCTATTACCTCTCTCTCTGTTAAAACATTCAGGAGACTCATATTTCTGTACGTTCACACTGATCAGTTCAACTTATCTGGATATCTAAAATGTCTCACAACATCTGGAACAAGAGTTCCAGATAAAAAATAACTTGCCTTACTTTTGAAGAAATGGTCTTTCTGAAGAAGTGATCCAATACTACAGAGAGTAAGGGGAAGTGTAACTACTCCCACCAAAGATCAGGACTGTCCTCCATGACTTGAAATACCAGTGCCTTGTGGAGTCTTCATTAATCATTAGTGACAGAAGAAAGAAAGACGGTTTCACCTGTGTCTAACCCCAAAAAGGTAGCTTTTCTATTCAGATATGGATTTAGCCAAACTGATCTACGCTTTTGTAATCCCATGCTTGGATCGATCCAATTTGCTCTTCCTTGGTCTGACCCAGATGCCACTCCATAACCTACAGATGGTTCATCGTACTGTATCCCATCTGTTAAATAGAACACAGTAATGAGAATACATCACACCAATATTCCTCACTTCCCTTTGGATTTCATTCTAATCCTGAACACAGCTGAAGGTCCTGGTCCTTTCAGTGGTCCATGACTAAATCATCTAAGAGAAGACCTCTTCTTTCTGCTTCTTGCAGAAGATGGATACAACAGAGCTGTTATGCCCAAAAGGTGTCAGATTCAAACCTGAATATATGGGACAGAGATCTCCAGGCTTCAGCACTCACTTCTACCACATATTGTGTATTGCTATGTTTAGGTTGTGATAAAAGATTCCTCTCTTTCTGTGGGTAGTTTAGCTACCAATGAAATCAACACAGTACTACAGTCCCAAATGAAAAATTAAACCAGGTTGTTCATAAGTAAATAAGACTGGAAGTAGAAACAGTTCTGTTTTGAAGGACTTTAGCACATTATGCTTCAACACGACAACTTATATGGTACTTATAGTAAAAATAAAAGTCTTACAAATCTGAACTAATAACACAGCAGTGTTAATATTTATGTATAAAGACAATTATTTATATGATATTGAAATTTGATATTACTTCAGATATATAATTACATGAAATCAGTGCAATTTTCACACTTAATAGAAGTTGTGTATAGGTGGTCAGTATCTGGAAGAAAAGTCCTGTTCTCTGAAAACTCAGTATAGTGCAAGAGAATTTTAAGTTATTTTCCTAAACAGAAAAAAATTAAAACATGGCTTGGCCCTTAACATGATGTTTTTCTGAAAATATACTTTTTATGCAGAAAGGTGGTCCTATTTCTCAGGCAAGGATGGATGACAACAAAACCATTAACCAGATTTCTGGGTGAAATATTGGCTTTCTTGAAATCAATAGACTTTTTTAGCATTGAATTCCATTAAGCAAGGATGCAACCCATGAAATTTAGAAGAGAAAATACATTATTGAATCTAATTGGTGATTGCAACTCTTTGTTTTGCTTTTTATTTATTTCATTCTCTACTTTTGTGAAACACAACTTGCAGAATAAGAAGAGGCTAACAAATGCTCTAGAACCAATCAATGTTTTGAAACTAATAATAATACAATATGAGCATGTAAGCTTATGTAGTGCCTTTCATGTAGAAGTATCCCAAGGCACTTTGTAACAGAAACTCAATAAGGAGTGCAAAAGTGCTTTGTCAGATAGGATAAGCCAGGGGAAAAGGGGAAATTAATTAAACATGGATTTAAATTTCTCAGCCAACACATCATTTAGAACCTTGGTCAGCAAAGACAGTGGTTCCAATATCTGTATCCGGGGAACACAACAGAGTATTTTGGTTTTAATTCTTGAGGAACGTTTGATAGTTTTTCCACAATGAAATGGGGATGAGTAATAGCAATGCAGCTTGTAGGCTATATTTCTAAAAAGGCAGCCCCTGACTCTCTTCCTCTAGTTTTTCATAAACAAAGAGATTCATAAAAGTTGATCCCCTGACTTTTATGCCAGTAAAGCCACTTGACTGCAGAAACACCCAGTATGAAATCTGGTATGGTAGAAATCAGAAATACTAAGTTAAGGGCTGGGCAATGGCTTTATTGGCTGTTTAGCTCACTGTTTTAAACCGATGTATGTTTCCCCATAGAGGTAGTCAACACTTCTGACAGAGAAAGTAATCTGTTACACAGTAGTTCCTAAGATAGCATGTATTTCACAGGGAAAAGCAAAATTGCTTGGGAAAAGCTATAGTAACTGATAATGCATAAATTACAGCTTCCCTGATGTTGCAGAAACTTGCACATCCTCTATTTTTCAAACATTTTTCTCTTAGGAACACATGGACCATCCTCATTTTTGGATGACTGCCTCTTCGGATTAATGCATCCTTCTGGTGCATAAATTAGGGATGCACAGAGGAAAAAGGAGAAGCACTAAATCTCAGGAAACTGAAGCTGTACAGAAAAATGAGATTCACAGTAGAGCTGAATGAGTGACTCACCATGAATAATTTATCCCAAAAGTTAGCCTCCACTTCTGTTCATGGAATATCTCTAAGCAGCTTATAATTTCCTTGGACTTTAAAATATTGTATGTCTTCACTGCAAATAACTTCCTGTAAATATCTCATGTCCTATCTTAAGAGAGAGTGGCATTTTGTTTGATCAAATAAATCACATGATGATGTTCCTGTTCCCTAGATGGATGAACCCACAAACACATACTCCAGATGCCTGCTGTGGTTTAGAAAGCAGCTCAGTAACATGTGATGAAAAACAAGTGTGGGCAAAATAAGTTAATAAAAACTCTTAAGAGTTTTTGCAAAAATGTTTTCAGTATTTATATTGCAGCTGTAGCCCTTGTAATTTTGATTAATATCTCTAGGAATTTGAAGCTACATGTAAATATTCCCTTGGTGAACATGAAGAGTGATCTTGTCCCAGAGAAAACTTTGATGGTACATGTTATTTTTTGAAGATTTGCTACTGAAAAATATGCCAGTCTTTCCTGAATTTGTTCTAAGCTCTTGGACCAGTTACTCAGAGTTGGTGCACACATTAGTAAAAGTACTAATGTTAAAATTGTACTAGATTATTTGTGATCTGAAATAACCTTGTACAACTTATGGGTTTGAATGGACTGTTGTGCTTTATGCAAATGTTAAAAGTACTCTCTGCTTCTTCAATAAAATATGAAACCTCAGTGAGTACTTGAGGAAGGATGAGCCGTTAGTGCATTTAGAATTTATAATAGTTTACAGAGATTACCAGTTTTATAAAAGCCATCTAACAAAAACTTATAAATGTTAATATCTTTTAGAATGTTCAGATGTTGTAATATAATACTTATAGGAAAAAGAAGACTAAGGACTGATCAGAAAGTATACTCTTTTGTTGTGTGCCCTGACACAGGCTGAAGATAAAGACAGACTACCAGAATCCTGCCCACTTTACATTACTTTTGATTTTGCTTGAATAATTATTGCTAACATTTTGCTTTTATTTTTGTTATATTTGAAAATTTCATCTGCATCAAGTGCCCTTTGGTCTATGATAAATCTCTACATAATGCATCATTTGCTGGATTCTCTATTTTACAGCAATAACCACTGATATGAATTTATCAATATGATCAGAAAATAAAACTGGAAAAATAAGCAATGTGAATTCTTACCTGAGCTCTTGCGCTATAGAGTCCACTTGAACTGTTAATAAAAGAAGGAAAGAATGAATTATTTTACAGTTCTAGGCTTGTGCTTTCTGCAAACTTACACCTGTCTATCCGTGATGACAGAGGAGTGGCTATCAAAACACAGGTGATTATTTCATGTTCACAAGATTGTAGCTACTAGTTCAAATGTTAACTGAACACATACTTCTCACAGTTATTTTAGGATTCCTAAAACCTGGACTGTGATGTTCAGTAGAACAATAAGAAGAATAATAAGAAAAAATAAAAGTAAATGAGAAGGCACTTGTTTTTATTGAAAATAGATTGACAAATCTCTGCTTTTTCTGAATTTTAATTCAATTTGGGAATGACGAAGGCTGGTGTTTACAAATACCTACCCACACAAAGATAGACAGTATATTGACACAGCCAACAGGTGGTTCTGAGGATTACTCATACTGCACAGGCAACTTTTACTGTTTCCACTTGTGGAAAATGTTCCTGATATTTTAATTCCTGTAGCTCTGTGTGCATGTGTATAAAAAATATAGAGAAAGAAAATCTATAAGATTTAAAATGTGTTATAAGCTTTTTGAGCAAAAAGGATATGAATCCCCTATTAAATACAATTTAAGTCTTCTAAGCCAGACAGACAGTTTTACTTCACAGTGCTGACCAACAGAGAAGACATACTCTAATGCTGAGATGTGAATAACTTCTCTATTCAATAACTTTATTTCTTCTGGTACTTTTGAAATATATATGATTTTTACATCAATTTCAGAGAACATTACTGTGGGATGCATCAAAGTTTTCATAGGACAATGATTATGTTTTTTAAAAGGCTTGTCTGTGTTTATCCCCTTGTCTGTGGACAGTCTGTGGCACTCCCACCCCTTCCTCTATAGTTTCCTAACTGAAGCCTAGCACTTTTCATCCCTTTGGTCATTTGAAACTAGAGAACTAAGGCAAACCACACTTCAATTTTCCATTCTGACCACAGCTTGAAGCTGAAGACACTAACAATTCAGAACTGCCAAGTTGTGACAAGAATCAAATTAGCCTGTTTTGCACAACACTGAGTGTACAATTCACATTAAAATCAGAGTGAAAAATGGGTACTTCTTACCTCTGATAAGAGTTGTAAGCAAAAATGTTCACAGGGCAGGCAAAAGTTTGACATTTATTTTTTAAAATCTCCATTTTTCACTCATTATCAATAGTCACAAAAAGTGTTATGAATGAAAATAAAAAGTTATTTTCCTGGAAGGGCTGTATTGCTAGTCAATCATGTTTTCCAGATGTTGGGATCATTAAGGGCCTGTTTATCTCTCAGTACTGCATTTCCATCTGTTCCTTACAAAAAGAGAGGAATATCTGGAAAACACAACTATGTCATAACTTCACAAAATAAAACATGAGCAGCAGTATTCAAAAAAAGAAGAGGGTTGTCCTCTGTCACATACACCTGCACCTTTTGATTAAAGTAAATTTAGTTCTGTCCCATTTTTGCATCTAATTTACAGATAATTAATGGCAATAGACAGAAAAACATTCAGTTGTCTGAGAAAAAGTTTTGTACGTTACTTTGAAAGCACCCATTCAATATTGTCTAGTTCTACTCCCTATGGAAAATCTTTGTTTGCATAATAAAAAGCATAACCTTTATTTTCTTTGAGAAATATCTCAAAGAAAATAGCATACAGTAGATTTTTTTTTTTCTGCTTTTCTTTAAACCATAGCTAATAACATCATGCCTCTTAATGCCAGCAGTCTGTGTCCTGCCTTGATTAAAAAAGCAGCCCCAAGGAAGCTACACATTCTCTTACTGCACATTAGGGACTATGCACAGGAACTATCATATTTCATGGTGCGCTGGGCACAGGGTCGTGGAACGTGCTTGCTAACTCACCCTTGGTTCCTTTTGAGCGTGTGCGCAGCTTTTTATTTTCCCCATCTGCATCCATCTGTAATATTAACACAAAGTCTTTAATTCATTCCTTTTGTCATTGAGAAAAAAAAAAAAAAAAGTCTCCAATGCTTTTTTTTTTCCACATTTCCAAAGGCTAGACAGTAATAGAAAGAAGAATAATCATGCCTTATTAATCTTGTCAAAGAGATAAAAAGCCATCTGTGAATATCTAGTAAATACCTAGGAGATACCTTTAATGATACAGATTTGTTTAATAAAGTGATGGTTATGAGTGACTCTGTGAGGTTTAATGACAAGGTCTACAGGTGTTAGCTGAAGACATAAGGTTAGAAACAACAATGCTGTATGAGTGCTGCCTTCATCACCCACCTCCTGGAAGAAAAGGTCCCAGAAAGCCACAGTGCCCAGAGGCACTCTGCATTATTATTGTAACTGAAGCATATCTTAATAGCTGCATTGGAACCTGAATTTCTGACAACTTCATCCTTAAAACGTGAAACCCTCTTGCTTGAATGTGCATAATTGCACATGTACAGCTTTGAAGTACTTGACCATTTATTCAACTACTTCTTACAGAAGTTTTTTGGTCAAACAGACAGTTACAGATTTGTATGAGGTTTTGGGAGAAGGTAGTATCCTAGTTTGGATTTCACATTAAAAAAACCCAAACAAAACCACAACCAAAAAATCTACCAACCCTCCAAAAGTCAGCAGTTGCTGTAAGATTTCTAACTGAAATAAAAGAGACCTTTCAAGATCAGCTGTTCTCATGACACTTTTGGCTACATCTAAACCAGCACTGGAAATATGCACCTTCTGGTCTTGGATCTGGCCCAGACCCATAATTGTAGGGGCAGGTTTTCAAGCCATGGATTTTATTACAAACCCCTGAAATTCAGAGGGATTAAGATTTCATGTACTGGTGTGGAGAGCTGCAGTGACATACAGCAGATTGTACAACAGTGTAATTTTGATGACGTCCAGGGAGGCAAACTCTTCTTTTGAAAAGCAGCTCTTAATTTTTATGTAAGGAAGACACTCTCAGAAGGATTTCTTGATTAGGCAAAATATCAGGTACTCTGGAATTCTTCTTCAGTCTCTGTTTAGTTTCCCTCTTTGTAAAATGGTGATAATCAAACATACTCTAGACAAAGCAAATTCTATGTGATTCTGCAGATCAATATGCAGGAACAAATTCAGACACCAACATCTGTGTTACATAACTGTGTTGGGCAATAGTAGATGCATTCTGTGGTCTTATGTGGTACATACCATTCTGTGGATGCCTATGCCTGGCACCTTTCACTGCAAAAGGTCACAAGATTAAAAAAAATGTCAGCAGAAGATCGTCTCTATTATTTCACTCTTCCTTTCTGAGGATCAGTAGAACTGATTTGCCCCACTGAGGGAATATGCAAGAACCTCTGTTTGTGCCTTTTTCCACTTATAGAGTTTGAAGATCTGAGGATGCTTTATTTTTAGCTTTATATGACTCAGATAACTGAGATGTTTTGAAGGTCTTATCTGAAAGAACACTGCAGAATATAACAAAACTGACCTGAGAAAGAAAAAGTAAAGTCAGTCTTTCCAGGGGAGAGAAAGCATTTCTTTAATTTCCTGTTTTTTTTTCTATTTGTTGTTATATATGGTTACACATTATATGCAGCTACTGGAATCAAAATACCTATTTGCAGGAGAGAACACAAGCATTTGAAAAGCGTGTTCATGTACTTGGAGAAGCCTAATTCTAGAACACAGGTTAGCAATATCTAAAATGAAAGTATAAATTGAGTGAAATGTACCTCAAAGCCAGACAATGATATCTTTTCTCTGTTTAAATTTACATCTGATGTTCATTATTAGCAGGGAAGGAACGTAAGTGGCTTGTGTTTACATAGTGAGGCCGATGGCAGCCTTTACTTGTTACTATCCTTAAAACCTGGAGAACGAGTTTTTGCAATGTGACTGCAATGGTAATGGGAAACATGGCTCTGTTCTCTGATGCTGAGTTGTGATTGAAGGCACTGACCTGCCATAGACTTATAATAGGGGAGCAGGTGTGGCAATGATGGACTTTAATTTCCTTTAATAAACCTTTTATGTGCCACACTTTTACTGCCATTCTATGCTCTCCAAGGTCCTGCACATAATAGGTTCATTACTTTTGATTACTATAGTCTATTGAGACAAACAACTCCAGAACACACTATATATTATGTTCAGTTAAACCAATATAGACTATTTATCCACTGTGCATTATTTCACCTGCAACTCTACAGACAAAATTAACAACAGCTCCTGTAAGCTAAAACTATTAAAACCACTGGTACTCCTTTGTCATCATTTCATAATAAAACCCACACCAATCACAGTGCTGCTCTTTTAATTATGAAACAAAAAGTGTCCACTGCTTCTACTGAACAGCAGTTACTTTGGTCTAAATAGCACGTTGCATTTTGATGAATATTTAAAAATTGCACAATGAGTGAAAACCAACAATAAAATCAATGCAGGTGATTTTTCTATTGATTTTCTTTTCTTATAATAATTTGAAACTATGAGAGAAGTTTAATCAACTCAAACCTAAAATTTGTAGGACTATTTGGCCTGGTGTATAGCACATATTAAAATAATTATCATGTATGTGTTGCCTAAAAAAACCCTTAACTTACAAAAAGACCCATGCATTAATCTGAAAATTATAAAAAAGTAACTGAATAAAACTGAAATCTTTTAAGTGTTTAAGACACATTCTCTTGCTCAAATTTTAAATGTAGTATCTTTGGGCTTTGATAGTTCTTTCAGAGACTCCTTGATACTGAAAAAAAAAGTGAACAAAGTTTCTTACTTCTGATTTTTATCTAAAGATTGCTTTACATCTAATTACAGCCACAGATGGTCACCAAGAAATATTCAAACTTTTAAATCACCCATGGAAAAAACAAAAGAATTAAACTCTAAGTGAGAAATTCCATTCCAAGCTTTTAGAGGTAATTGTAATCAAGGTGTTAATTTGAGAGACATATCTTATTACTGCTATGTACTGTGAAGACTGGTTGGATTCAGGAAGGTGCTCCATGCTCTCAAAGCCGAGGATGGTTAGCCCTCCCTCCTAGTACACATGTTGTCTTGAGACAAGAAGCCATAAGGGATAAATAGAATGGTCATGGCTGTACAACATCCTCACACCATGTCTCATTGCTATTTTTTTTAGCCATCAGGACCATCAGGATAATATCTAAGTTCTTGCCAGAAAAATTTTATTGGGAGTTATAATCCCATATTTTTAAGGGCAAGCTTCACAAAAATAATACCAAGGAAACAGTGGAATTAATTCCACTTTATCTTTGTGTCTTATAGCTAGATTCTAGGATTTGATGGGTTTAAAACCCATCTAAACATTTTCTTTTCAAAATTAGTTGAAAGTAGCTAATGGACTCAAAAGGAATTAGTGACAGATACAGTCAGAAACACAGCAATAAAGGGGTAGCAGCTATGCAGTCCCCAGTCGTTAAAAAAAAAAAAAAAAAAAAAAAAGAATGTTTGCCTTAGAATTAATTCAGTTATGCCCTATTTCTGTGATTTGGAAATTTACTGATGATGTTGACACTATTATTTTCTGAAAGCATGTTCCAACAAATCTTCCTAAGTTTATGAATGCTTTCTGTTTGACTTTGTGAAGTTCAGTTTGATCCTTCCCCACCTTTCCTTCAATTTTGGTTGAGACTTAAGGGTAAGTCAATAATTAGATCCCAGAAAACTGACTGGAGTCACCGACGATACCACAAATTCTGCTTGGCTGAAACTGGAGTAACTTGCTATATGACTGCTACATGGTATTCATGTTTCTCCCAGTGAATTAACTGTGGAGTAGCAGCAATCATACTTTCTGAGCAAACTATTCCAGAGTCCCTGGCTGCAGAAACCAAATGTTACTTCTGTTTGTAGCATCCCACTGCAGCCAGCGGACTCAAGAGCAGCACCTGGAAATACTTCCCTGAGTGAGAGAATCAGGATTTGGCTCTGAGTTTGGTTTTTTGTGTGCCTGGAGTCTATCTGTGCACATGTGCATGTACTGATATTATAATGGGATCCAAGAATATGACTAACAGCTGAAAATAGGGCATGTGCAATAAATTATAATAATAGCAATAATAATAACAATAACTACTATTTCAGTTTACTTGCACATTTTTAATTCTGAATTTCAAAAGCTAAATTGATACTACCATCTTGGTAAGAGAATTTTAAAGTATATTACTGTGAAATAATGACTTAGGGAGGACAATTCTACTGACACAGGTAAAAGTGAAATACACCCCCTGGAAAGAGCTATGCACAGTCTAATTTTTATTGTGATCTTTGTACAAGCACGATTTTCCCCACACTGCTGGAGTGACAGTCTGTTTCCTTTTGTGTAACTAGCTAGAGGAAAAGAAATCACCAGTTTATCTAGAGGTAAGGAGTATAAAGGTGGATATTTTGCTGTGATTTTCCAACTAAAAGTTACCTTTGATTTTCAAAATTAAATTTGGCAAACAAATTTTCAAGGACAAATCTTAACTGATTTTGAGAAGTCTGAAAAAAAAAATTAATAGCTTTTCTCTACTATTTTTAATTTTTAAACTATGTAAGTTTATACAGAGGTAACAGCTACATCTGTCACAAAACTACTAATGAACTTAGACAGAAAAAAACCCAAAACAAACAAAACAAGCACCTTGATGATTTTTAAGACATACAAATCCATCCTCAATTCTCAAACACAAGCTACAAACTCAGAGTTGAAGTCAGACACTGCTAAGCACTACAAACATATCTGTGCTGTACTGTGCCCCGAGGTGACACGACACAGTGTGTGCCTCTCCCTACAATAATTACCTCAGAGCAAGATTTTCAGTGCTTTTGGTATTCATATTTTAATGTTTATTTTCAATAATTCATTTAAAAATCCAACACATAAAAAGAGAATCATGTTTTTCTGTATAAAAAGATTATTAAAAATAAATCTGAGAGCAAAAATATTTTTATAGCTTGTGCTGAAGTATGTATCACTGTTTGTGCATATATGTGTGGTGATTGCATCTTTCTGTTACTCTGTGATAGGTTTTTTAAATATGAAGTATTTATGGCAGACAGACAGTGAGAAGTATGGTGAGAAAAAGAAATGCAAAGTACACATATAGCAAATTATAGATAAAGCTTATATACTCTGATGACTTGCAGTAAACAAATCCAAAATCCAAAGATAATTATTTTAGGAACATTGTTGTACTGGTGTTAAAGTTTCTTGTTCTTGAGTTTGGTGGGTTGTGGTTTTTTTTTTGGTTTTTTTTTTTTTTTTTTAATAATATGTTCCTAGCCAGAAAGGAGAAAAAATATTTACAAAGAAGGTATTCTTAAAGACTATTACTAAAAATATGCCTTGTTTCATGATTTTCATTATTCTTAACCGAGTCACCTCATTTTTGAAACTTTTGATTTAGTTTATACGATTCTATTCCTGATGTCTCTAGGAGAAAGTTGAATAACATGAAAATAATTGGTTCAGATATATTAATTTCTCAGTAATTAAAATAACTAAGTACATCTACTGGATAGAAACTTTAAAGCATGTTTGCAACACATATAAATCACCAACAATTTATCATTTTATAGTGTGGTTGAACGCTATATATATTTTTGAGAAGTAGCTGTTTTTTATATTGAGGTCACTACTTGAAAATATGCAGAGGCAAAATAAACCTTAAATCAGAGGCAAGCTTGAATAGCTTTGTAATGAGGATGATTTATTTTGATTCTCACTTCTGATTTCTGAGTTGTCACTGCTGTTGTATACTTCATCCATGCAACTTTGCACAACTGGCAGTGCTGAATATAAACCAAAGCCATATGTTTATGTCCTTTTGCCAAACGACTACAGCAAATAGTTCTATTATTCCCTTAGGTAACCAGCGTGTGCCAAGTATTTCTATTAGTCTGCTTTACCAAGGCTTTAGAGGGCAGAGTCACAGCTTCATGAAATTAAGGGGCAACTGCTAGCTTTTTAAATTTAGAGAAAAAATATATAGTCTACCACGCCGAAATGCAGCTCAACACAAGCTGATGTGTGATCCCACTTTCTGAAGGCTTTTTTTCCTGTATTTTTATTTTCAATGAAGTTCAATGTCTTGTCACTACTTTCTGGGCTGCTAAGTACTAAATATAATTTTTTCGATGAAAGAAAGCGTCAATATTCAAAAAGAAAAAAATTATTTGACACCTTGAGATCTTTTACAAATACACCAAGGTTTTTATCCCACCCAACTGATATATAGTTTTAAAACCTCAATAGGCATCATCCAAAAAATTTCACAAATAATCTATCCTTCACAGATTAAATTTAAGTGCATTATGAAATACATTCTCACTCCTGGAGTCATATATATTTAAAGATAGTTGTGTTCAGGTCAATATGTAGTGCTAACAGAGTATAGTTCTGAAACTTAAACCCTAGAATTTCTAGGTATTTACAAAGATTTACATATTTTTCAGTTGTTCAATATTGTTATACCTGACTGTTTAAGACTGCTGTTCCCAAAATAACAGATGCTATGCGAGAAAAAGTCCTAGTGAACATGACACTACACATGAAACCACATAGTATTATACTACTAATAGATAGATTTTGGCTCAAATTCATTTTTGTAAATAATTTATCCCACCTTTGCGTGTTTCCAGGTGAAAATAAGTGCAGATTCCAAAGGACCAAATTCGTCACTCAGCACAAGATGCCTGGCCTGATTTAACAGATAATCCTGAAATTCATTCTCTGAAAAAAAAAAACCAACAGAAGAAAACCAAAAAACAGCTATACTAAATAAATGTAGATGAAACAGCACACTCTTTAAATCAAACGGGAAAATAATCCAGGTGAACTGTTTTCTTGTGTGGTTTTTCAAAGATGTGGTATAGAGGCACCAATGATGCTTCTAAAAGGCAGAAAGAATAATAATTTTTCTTCTGTTATGGTATTATATTTATATTGTTAATGCCCTTTATGATAGCTTATGAAATAGACCTGCTCTAAGAAAAGTTTTTCTTCCTGCACAGACACAGTTCCTATATGTAAAAATCCTTATTCAATGTTTTTACTGCATCAGTTACTGCACACTTTGACTGAGTAGGACGGTTCAGTACATGACGTGAAATAAAGGAGAAGCATTTAAAAATATTTTAATATAGCAATTTTTTTTTTTTTTTTTTTTTTTTTTTTTTGTTTTTAAATTTTATTTTGAATATCAGAATTTGAAGTTTGGCAGACTGATAGTCTCATCATAAGCAAACTGAAGGAAATCCTTGACATTTCTCTATGCTCAATTTTTTATTCCTTTCTGTGGGAAAACTCCCACTAAATCAACTGTAGAAGCAAGGGAAGAAGAGCTGCAGAAGTTTATGTCTGAGTCTACAATACTGAGGGCCTTGTATTCAGAAATAATGAATACCCCAACCCTTCAAACACTTAAAGTTGTAAGCACATGCAACCTAGGAAGATCTGGTTGTGAGCAGTTATTATGGACAGGTTTTATTTTAATATCACTTCTGCCACTAGTGACCAAAATATAAAACTTTTACTATGACTTGTGATTTCAGAGTCCTTTTCAAATAGTATTCAGTGTATTTAGTAAAATAGCTCTATTATTTCAATGTATTCCAATTATGACAAAGTTTGCAGAAAAACTTTTGGAACTTGAAGGTCAAAATTTAACTATTCATTTAATTATATCATATGAAGTTTTATCAGTAAAATTTGTAATGTTACAATTCTGAAATTTGAAAGGCTCACTCTAAACGGATTCTCAGGGAAGCTAAAGTTTATTGAGTGACTAATTTCTGCTTGAGTCCCAATAGATAATTAGTTGCATCCCATCAATAACTTTTAATTAAAATAAATACAGTTTTAGCAAATAGAAAAATAGAAAGCAGATGCAAGATGATAAAGAAGGGAGAAAACCCAGACCAAAACAGTCCAATACCAAAAAGATTTTTTAAGCAGTTTTCTAGACAATATATTGCTAGAAAAAGATGTTGTTTATCCTCAAAGGCCTCTTTCCCTGTTATGCTGTTTCAACATCCATGAAAAAAACCAAAAGGAGTCTTAAAGCTTTCTACCTGCCTCTTCCTCTTTGTTCAGAACACACTAACCTAAAACAAAAGATCTCTGAGAATAGCTACAATGGTGAAAGAACAAAGCTCTTTCAAAATCCTAAAACTTAGCAGCTTTTTGTCTAAAATCCTATCATGTTATGTATTTATTAGCAATATATTTTTCATTTATTTTCTCAAAGATTGCCAATAAAGAACTAAATCACATAAGGGAGTAGCTGTAAACCCTTTGAGTTCCCTAATGTCAAACTCATTAGCATCCGAATAACCACACAGCAGCACATCATCTGCACAATTGCAAATTTTTACTACTTTTAATAGCGTTTCTCAAAGGGCTCATTTTCAACTTTCTTCAGTGGTTAGTTGGTTCTCTGGGGAAAAGGAGCTTCCTGACGCTCACAGCTTCCACTCAACAACCAGGCCGTTTGCTGTCAGAAGCATCAGCCCTCTGCCCTAACCCCATCTGCTGTCTCTCTCATCCTAAGGGACCAAGAGTTAAGACAGCACAGCTGAGATCCACTTGAAAAAAGTGCACAAAGGACGGGAAAATGTACAAAACTTTTCACATTTAACTTTACATAATAAGCTAATACACTGAAAATTCTTCTTTTAAGAATAGGAGTCTGGGTTGGATTGGAGCTGGGAGGCAGGTTTTAAAATTGTACTGTAAAACTACATGCAACAGTGCCATTTGCTGTTTTACTCCCATCTGCCTTGCATGTGACATCATCAGCTATCTTTGCAAAGCAGAGCGTGCTTTAGTAGGACAAAAGCAAAACTTTTACATAAAGCACAAAACCCGAACCCCTCTTCTGCATTTAATCACTACAGAAGTTACTGGCTAGCAAGTTTAAATGTGCTGTTTTCTATTTCTTTCACATAACAGGATACTGGCTGCCATACAGCTGATTCGTGGGTGAGTACCCACATTTGAAGATACGGTGTTTCATAAAAAGTCTAATACAATGTCATGCATTTGTCATGTTATAAACAGGGAGTGTAGGATTACGCTGTGTCATGGGATGTGACATACCCCTAATGGAATGTAAATTATGCGTCACCACTGTCCACACTCCAAGAAGCAACAGACGTTTCAAAGTGCTGGGATCTGCAGGTAACAAACAAGAGTTACTGCTGATTTCACAGTAACATCAAGATCTTATAAAATATGTTATTGAGAAACTCTTTATTATATATTATGAATTATAAAATTAATCATGGGCCAAATATTGAGGCATTGCAATAGATGCAGATAAAATTCTGCAATGCCAAACGGAAAACTTAAGATCTCAGACACAAGAGCCCATAAAGAACATCTATCTAAGTTATTGGTGATGATAAGAAAATTGTAAATGAAAATAGGATAGAACTAATTTATTTGTCAACCAAAGATCTTTGGTGGAATCACGTCCCTTAATTCCACATGTATCTTCATTTGACCCAATATATTAGTCAATTCCATTAACTTATTTGTCTCTTTTAGTAAAGAATTCAAAAGGATTCTTAGACGGCAAATTATGCCTACACTTCAACTCCATATATGTCTGAACAGAATTTTTTAATCCTGAAGGTAAAGATTGCCTGCCTATAAAGAAAACCTTCACCCTTTTCAACCAGCACCTCAATTCAACTAGAATAATAAACTTTATAAACCCGCAAAGATGGAATAAATGAGTTGCTTGAGTTGTCAGTGTAATGGTTCAGTGAAGTCACCTGGAATCTTTGCAATTCATTCTTTGTTTTATAGCCATTTCCAGTGCAACATGATTTTGTACTGACTCTGAAGTGCCATCCTACTGAGATCCATGAGTCATACTAGGATACTGATGTGAATCACCATTTGGGCCCTGATCCTCAAGATCAGATGTGTGTGACAATTTCCTTCAAGCAACCATTCTTGTTGACCCATTGTCTGTGAGTAAAAGCCCACTCCTTCAGCTCATATTACTAGAGTACCTGAAGATTTAATAATGAAGAAAGACTTATTCTACAGTCAAAAATTATCTCACCAGAAGTTTGATGTTCTTTTCTCTGTCAGAATTGCAGTATGCAAAGCTGAGCTACACCTGTAAAAGACCCCAAAAACTTTTTTTGAGCATAATGGATATCATTTCCTGCAGATGAATTTGATTTTCTCTCATTTACCACACCACTAGTTGATATATTGCAAATATAAAAATGAATAACCACAACAGTTTGCGATTTGTTAGCTCAGAATGGAAGTAATAGCTAAGGAAATAAAATCCAATGTGCTCACCATTATGATCCCTGAATATTTTTTGTGTTTCTGCAGTGACAGTGATTTCTCTTTCTCAAGATAAAATAGCACAACATATTTAGTATTTGAGAAAAAAATATGTGAAAGCAAAAGATGCTATTACATATGAATGAAAATATATTGAGCTCTTGACTGCAGACAGATCTTTATCTTGCACAGGCTGAAGTACGTAACTTTACACATTAAGTTCTGCACAAATTTATGGGTCATCTCAGTGAGATCCTTAAGTGCATGTGTAATATTCAACACATGAGTAAATAAATGAATTTCATTTGGCCTTCTAATGCTTCACTTAAACACCCTCACTGTAGTACACATGGGCAGACTTGGAAATCTGAAGGAGTCTACCTGCAAACGTGATTTTTATAACATTTGAGTTTCAGAAAGGAATTTCCTTGGGGCAGAGTACTCCTCTTTGCACTTGTTTTATTAAGTGCAGGGTACACGTGGAACAGAATTATTGCTGCTTCAACTATTACATTTTCTTTCTCAACTATAAGTCTGAACTTTACCTTAGTTCTACCCTGAGATGAACAGAAGGTCATGTTACCAGTGCAAGACAGCCTAGTAACAGAGACAGTTGTCCTTCCACTACCTGTAAAAACACATCCCTTGCACTCATTCTCTCTTTTAAACAGGGCAGTAATTCCAATGCCATGTGCAAGATCATATTTCGCTTACCAGAAGGGTTTAACTTTCACCTGATTTAAGCAACAAACTATCCCTCAAAGATGCCTGAGGCTTTGCTGTAATTAACGTAACTGCATTTAGATGCTATTCATGACCGATAATTCCAACACCTTGTGGAAAAAAAAAAAAAAAAAAAAAAAAAAAAAAAAAAAAAAAAAAAGGTTGCATGCTGTAAACATTATAAACATATTCAAATAAGCTTAACACAATCTGCCATGCTTATTTCTGCCTAGATCATGGACCAGCGAAATGGTTAATGCAAATGGATTTATAATTTGCTTTGGGGGGCCAGTTTCTTCTCCTTATTTATTAGCCCAGCTGATGGGGCAGATTTGATGAGGCACTTCTGGAATAATTGAGTCATCACACAAAGAAGGCTGCTAGCATTCAGAGTGGTTTTATCAGCAGCAAGCAGGCCTGATTACTGACAATTACACTCTGATCCGGTGATGGAGGAGAAAGAGCCAACGAGTGGGAAATGTCCGTGTTTCTATCCAGGAATAATTTCTACATTCATTTTACATGCTAAGTGTTTCCTATCTCTGCATAATAAACTGTAAACAGGAATAGATGGCACAATGTCCCTTAATATTTCCTGGTAATGAAGACACAAATGTACAGTGAGTGCTGATAAATATAGATGAAACATAAGCTATTCTCTGAGTCTGTATTGTTACCTTTAAAATAAATGCATTTTGGTGGTAAAAGCATAATCATAGCTAATGCAAAAAAATGACAGAAGATTGAAGCTGTCCTTGTAACTACACAGAAACTTTGTAAAAGTCCTGTTAATCACTGCTGCTCTAGAGGCTCATAAGCTGAAGGTGATATACTGGAAAGAACATCATTTTGTTTCTCAATAGTCAACTATGTAGGAACTCCTTCGCTTTGACACAGTAAAGGAGAGCAACAGCAGTGACCTCCATTAACACTTCAGGGATAGAGCACATCTCAATGCTAAACTGAAAAACAATGCAGCTGGTCCTAGAAGACATCTTCACTATGATAAATTCTCATTTCCCTCTCATCAGCCTTAAGATAGTATTTATAATGAATAATAGAGCTAGACCATAGATTTCATGAGTTGTGTTTAGCAATGTATTTTTTTTTTTTTTTTTTTTTTTTTTTTTTTAGCAACCAAGATGCCATAAAATGTCAGTTATTAACAAAATGCTGAAAGCAGAATTTTGGAAAAATCTGTTTCTTCTCTGACTCAGGAAAAAAACATGGAAACAGACATACTGAAGAGTTGAAATGTAATTTTGTGTTTGTTGATGGGCAATTATAGATTTCAGCTGGAAAATGTTAATGCTCTAGTCTAGGGAGAGTTTTTCTTTTTTAGAGTTGATCAGGCATGAAACACTGAATAATAAACTTCTGCATGCTTGTTTATTCCTTTTCCTCTTTTTAAACTAATTCATAGCTTCAAAAGAACTAAAAGTTGTTCTCTGTTCTCCTGCAGTAACTATGGTAACTATGTTTCATTAAAGTAGCCACTTAACTTCAAGGCTTGTGTTACAATAATATGCATTATTTTGAGTAAAACCACACCATAACAACCTTATGATTTCAGAGCAATTTTAAAAGAAAGTTCAAAGAGCATGCGTCATTGAATCTGGAACACAGGGTTTGTTTTCTTTTAAAACATGTTTACTCTTTTTCAGCCTGCATGACTTTTCCTGCATGGAGTCATCTCTGTTGTGAGGTACTGTGTGGGGGGACTGTTACTGACTTCATCAAAAGATGACCATGCTCTGCTCATCGAAGGGGTGCTTAATAGTTGCAGGATTGAGGCCAGTGGGAGATGCCTGAGTTTGCAGATCAGTATAACTAAAAGCAGAGAAATTCTGTTGGTTTAATTACTCTGTTATAGCCTCCTTCAACATCAGGAAGATCCTGGTCCTGCTCTAGTATTGCTATATGCCTGTTGTTCAGCCACCACTGTTATAGTCCTTGTACTAGCGAAATAGTTAGGAATCTATGGGTTTGAAGGTCAGTTTTATGGGGGTGCTGTTATGGGTGCATTGAACCTCTACAGAAGTGCTGGAGTAGATTAGGTCCAGTAAAAGTGGTTATACCTCAAATACAGGCTTAATCTAGGTTACTCTATTCCTTGCCTGTGATTCCTGACTATTCCAGACAAAATTTTTGAGACTGATTTAATAGCCAGAATTAGGACATCACACTTATACTGGACAAAACCCATGGCTAATTAGCTCATTGAACATTCTCCGACATGGAGTCAAAAGGAACAATGAACCTAAAAATAAGAACTGTTTTTATAAAAGGAATATAACTACTATTCTGCTATCCTATACATTCATCCTCCTCTTTCTGAACAACAAGCTCTCTTCATTAAGCATGACAGACATGTCCCAAGAAAGGGAAAGTCTCACAAAGGGAAGAAGTGTGCCTTCCCTCAACATGCAAATCACATATGTTCATTAACTTCAAGAGGGCCATGTGAAGTACAGTCTGCCACCATCTAAAAGACTTGTAATGACCCTAACTGCTAAAGATAATGGGGCTTGCATGCACTACTGCATTGCCCTGAAGATCCTGGGAACATGCTGAAGAGCACAGGAAAAAACAAACCAAGAACAAAAATACGACCTCAAAAATCAAAATAGTAAAGAATATATATATATAAAAAAAAAAAAAGGAGACATATTTGTCAGATACCAAAATATGCATGTTCACTGGGTCAGACTTCTTATCTGGAAAGGTTTAACTCAGCAAATGTTTGGGTCAAGTGATTGGAGCAAGAAAAAGGGTGTTCAGTCTGTTCAAAGTTATGTTAAGAGGTCAGTGGCACCAGGGATGGTGGTTTAAATTCTCTTTTCAGAGCCTTTAGAGTGGGTGAAGGTTATTTCCTAAAATGACACCTGTCTTCTGGCATAGACGTAAGCAGAAGGCAACATGACTGAGCAAATAATTGGGAAAAAAAGGGATTCTGGAACAATCTTCCTGCCTCTGCCACTGATTTATTCTGTGACCTTCAGCAAGTCTCTTCACCTTTCATCTAAATAGGGATAACGATGTAGAGTGCTGTGAAGTGCTTTTGTGCATATCTAACCACGCTTTAACGTAGTGAATATTACTTTCATCCTCATGTGTTCATCAATTTAATAGCCTGCTCATTCTTTCACTTCCTCTGAAACTCAACTTGATACTTCAAGAGTATGTCATTACTTGGTATTTCCAAGGAAAAAATAATGTTTCCTTTTTCTCCTCAAGGTTTGTTTTTTGGTTTGTTTTGTTTTTTTTTTTTTTTTTTGTTTTGTTTTGTTTTTTTTTTTACTTAAAAAACCCAACCAAACAAATTAAAAAGGACAATTCTGAGAAGAATGGGTACTAACTTATGCATGATGAATGGCAAAATAATTTAAAACACATTTCTGTTCTCTTCTGTCTTAACATATTAGGCAATCCAGGGGTAACTGTACTCTTGGCATGTCAAGTCCTTATCTTAAAAATCTGTTTTGTTTGTTTTCCACTAAAGAGAAACACTGTACTAGGAGATATCTTTAACCATTTTGCTTTGAATGGTTTTGCTGTAAATGTTGAAAGTGTCAGTAAGGTGTGTATATATATATATATATATATATATATATTCACACACATATATATATACACACATATATATATAAAAATTTATGTGCATATTTATATATATATATATATATATATATATGTTTGTGGTAACATAAAGTTTAATACTATACCCAGCAATTACTGTATTTAATTTAAAAGAAACTGAAAGAGAAAAGTTTCTTTCAGTGTGAACATATTAGATGTCTGGTAAGAAGATAACCCGTTGTACCCCTAAACAATACCGAGTTAAAAATAACACTACAGAAATGTATCTTTGAAATATCATTTTCTATTGGTAAATAGTAGTAGCCCATTATTCATCCTATTGCAGCAAACTTGACTTGAACAAGATGAAAAAATACCATCCTATGGAGACATGCTTTACAAATATTATCACTTTAAACACAGTTAGCCTTCAGACTCCTTAGTTTAAGCCTGGCTCCATTGAAAACAACCAGAACACTCTTGTGGATCTCAATAATACATGTTATTTGCATGTAAAAG